CCCTGTACTTTCTCCAAACAACTCTTTTGGCGCTCCAAACTATGCAAGCATACTCCAGTTTAGACCTCACAAAAGCAACAGTTTCTAACAACAAATCTATATAACTGTATAGAATGTGAAACAAAATCAATTTGTTTACCAAATGTCAACTTGTAATCAAAAATCACTCACAAGAATGTGAAACTAATGCTTCAATTTGTTTACCAAATATCAACTTGTAATCAAAAATCATTCCTAAGAATGTGAAACTAATGCTTTGATTTGTTTACCAAATGTCAACTTGTAATCAAAAATCACTCCTAAGAATGTGAAACTAATGCTTCAATTTGTTTACCAAATGTCAACTTGTAATCAAAAATCACTCCTAAGAATGTGAAACTAATGCTTCAATTTGTTTACCAAATGTCAACTTGTAATCCAAAATCACTCCTAAGAATGTGAAACTAATGCTTCAATTTGTTTACCAAATGTCAAATTGTAATCAAAAAACACTCCTAAGAATGTGAAACTAATGCTTCAATTTGTTTACCAAATGTCAACTTGTAATCGAAAATCACTCCTAAGAATGTGAAACTAATGCTTCAATTTATTTACCAAATGTCAACTTGTAATCAAAAATCACTCCTAAGAATGTGAAACTGATGCTTCAATTTGTTTACCAAATCTCAACTTGTAATCAAAAATCACTCCTAAGAATGTGAAACTAATGCTTCAATTTGTCTACCAAATGTCAAATTGTAATCAAAAATCACTACTAAGAATGTGAAACTAATGCTTCAATTTGTTTACCAAATCTCAACTTGTAATCAAAAATCACTCCTAAGCATGTGAAACTAATGCTTCAATTTGTTTACCAAATGTCAACTTGTAATCAAAAATTACTCCTAAGAATGTGAAACTAATGCTTCAATTTGTTAACCAAATGTCAACTTGTAATCAAAAATCACTACTAAGAATGTGAAACTAATGCTTCAATTTGTTTACCAAATGTCAACTTGTAATCAAAAACCACTCCTAAGAATGTGAAACTAATGCTTTCTATTTGTTTACCAAATGTCAACTTGTAATCGAAAATTACTCCTAAGAATGTGAAACTAATGCTTCAATTTGTTTACCAAATGTCAACCTGTAATCAAAAATCACTCCTAAGAATGTCAAACTAATGCTTCAATTTGTTTACCAAATGTCAACCTGTAATCAAAAATCACTCCTAAGTATGTGAAACTAATGCTTCAATTTGTTTACCAAATGTCAACTTGAAATCAAAAATCACTCCTAAGAATGTGAAACTAATGCTTCAATTTGTTTACCAAATGTCAACTTGTAATCAAAAATCACTCCTAAAAATGTGAAACTAATGCTTCAATTTGTTTACCAAATGTCAACTTGTAATCGAAAATTACTCCTAAGAATGTGAAACTAATGCTTTCTATTTGTTTACCAAATGTCAACTTGTAATCGAAAATTACTCCTAAGAATGTGAAACTAATGCTTCAATTTGTTTACCAAATGTCAACCTGTAATCAAAAATCACTCCTAAGTATGTGAAACTAATGCTTCAATTTGTTTACCAAATGTCAACTTGAAATCAAAAATCACTCCTAAGAATGTGAAACTAATGCTTCAATTTGTTTACCAAATGTCAACTTGTAATCAAAAATCACTCCTAAAAATGTGAAACTAATGCTTCAATTTGTTTACCAAATGTCAACTTGTAATCAAAAATCACTCCTAAGAATGTGAAACTAATGCTTCAATTTGCTTACCAAATGTCAACTTGTAATCGAAAATCACTCCTAAGAATGTGAAACTAATGCTTCAATTTGTTTACCAAATGTCAACTTGTAATCAAAAATCACTCCTAAGAATGTGAAACTAATGCTTCAATTTGCTTACCAAATGTCAACTTGTAATCGAGAATCACTCCTAAGAATGTGAAACTAATGCTTCAATTTGTTTACCAAATGTCAACTTGTAATCAAAAATCACACCTAAATCCTTAATTCCGGTACAATGCTACAGAGATAACCCATTTAACAGGTGAATAAAGTGATAGGTACCTTTCCTCCTAGAATAACTCATAATGTTACATTTGGGTACATTAAGAAATAACTTATTGGTGTCACACCAGTGCTGGAGGATGTTCAATTGAGTATGAAGGGAAGTACAATCATTCAAATCGTTGATAACGGAATATATTTTCAAATCATCCGCAAAAGATAAACGCTCACTCTGCAAATCTTCACATAAATCATTGATGAATGGCAAGAACAGCAAAGGACCCAAATTTGAACCTTGCAAAACACCGGATGAGGCTAAGTAAGTATCAGAACGAAAATTATTATAAGAAACAAATTGACACCTCGAAGATAAATAAGATTCAAAAAGGTCCCTAGCGTCACTAGAAAAACCAAATTTGATTAACTTTCCAAGCAATACATCATGATTTATTCGATTGAAGGCCTTCGAGAAGTCCGTGCAGATGACGTCAACTTGATTATTATTGTCAAATGTCTTCGAAATATGGTGGTGGCGGATGGTGCAAAGTAGATAGGCCCCTCCCCATCACACCCCACACATGTTCGATGCGATCTAAATCTGGTGAACGGGGTGACGATGGCAAAACCTTCCTGCCGAAAGTCCGTATTACGACAAGCAAGATGGGGATGTGCGTTGTCTTGATGTAAAAGGACGTATGGACGACTCTCTAATTACGGCAGTAAAGTGGTTTGTAGGACTTCATCAACATAACGCACAGCAGTCATATTATCCTGACGCTCTGTGGTACGCCTCGGTGGACCAGTTGGCCGTCCTCGTGTTCCTCTACATTCTTCTATCCACACACGACACACACGCATTACCGTCACTGCAGTACAATTAACACGGCAGCCAATTTCGCGATAAGACAAAACGATAGGCAATAATTCTACCCTCGTCAAAGTCGCCAATATGGGGATAATTTGGCCGTATTCAAACTCAAGGCATCTTGTTATGTAAAACACTAGGACAATAAGTAGAAATATCTGTACTACTCAGCTCTCAGAAACTGCTTTCTTCACAAAAACTAATGCTTAGATAGTCATTATGTTGTCAAAAAAGTTGAAGACATTTTTTTCTGCATGTAACACTTCTAATGTCACTTTTTATATTAGCTGCTTTTTGCTGATTTTTATGTATACGCTTCCCTCTACTTCTTGCTAAAACCGTTCCACTAATAATATAGGAGATACATTCTTATCTATGGATGTATAATTTACTTTCCTCGTTCACTTAAGGTAATGTGCACTCATTAGAGTGTTCCATTTGTAATGATTATTGGCATTTGGCGTGATGTATCACGCGATATGAGTATCACCGCAAGTTATTTCTAGGAAAATCCCATCAGGTTTCGTGACCTAGGTTTATTAAAGCGCAGTGAAGAAAAATCATACTCGTATAATTCTGCAAATTAGCAAAGATATATCTTTGTAGGCCATCATTCATGAACCTTGCTGTGATTTCGTTAGATAGCGTTAACGTAGGTATACTCGTGAAAATTCATATGTCCATCATAAGTAGCAAGGGTAGTACATAATCAAAAATAGCTTTAAAATTGAGTAAATGTCACGTTTACGTATGCGGTACTTTTGTGACTGCGAAAACTTATTATTATCAAGAGAGGCGATCATTTTTGTTATAGATGTTCCCAGGGCTAACATAATACTTTACGAACAGATAACAACGCTACATGGGAAAAACAGAGTCAACTTACTTGACGTTACTTTCTTATTATAAGAAACTCTATGGATCAGAGGTAGCCCATTTATTGTGAAAGGTGCATAATCTGCTAAGTTTGAGCACTTTTGGTAACCAAATAAACTAGACAAACAATGAACGATGATAATGAGTAGTGACAAGTGATACACTGTTTCATTAATAGTAATAATATTCATTGGTTCTGTAGATCTTTTATCATGACATAGGACTCTATTTTGAAAAGTACCAAAAGCATTCCAAGAATAGATAAATAAAAACAAAATCGATATACATACGAAATATCACTAAAACAATGAACAAAGAAATACAACACAGTACATATATTAAAATAAGGATCGGCCAAGTTAAAATATATAAATAAGTAAATAAAATTCAAAAACCATGAATAATATGTTACAGTTGAAATTGTATATGGGACTAACACAGTTGAAATAGTTAAGCATCCTGATGGTCTAGCTGGATATCTAAGAAATATTCGTCTGAGTCTTAACAGAGCTTCATGTTTATGTCTGAATAATGGCATTGGCAGGATTTTGAAAGTGTTGGCAATTTATTGAACAACCCATGCCCATTTGAGCTTACCTCTGTTCTTGATAGGATATTGCCCCCCGTGTGATCACCTTGCAGGCCTTAAACGCGCCACATAGGCGCCATATAGATCGATAGATACCATAAATCGCATCCGCTGAGAAATAATGCATAGTCTGCAAAGGTGTATTATTGGCCTCCCGGTGCAGGTTATTTCGGATTATAAAAACTGGATGGGCCGACACGTGAGATTATTCTTGCATCGAGGTCGCTCTCTTCCTGGGTCAAAAAGTAAGCATCTGTTTCATTTTATTGTACTTTTAATAGCGCGAGGTTTTGTTAATACACTTTGGTATTTTATTTTTTTATGTTATTTAATACTTTCAATTACTGATAACACTGTTTAGATATCAAGCTTCGGTGTACATATAGTGGACTATACACCAGCAATACAAAATGTTATCAATCCTAGTAATTAAGCAGCGTTCCAGACATTTCACTGGCATAAAAATTTTACTGCTTGCTTGCGTGTTTCTCTACTGGTGAGAGTAATAATTTCCATTTTTTTATTACATTCTTTAAGCTTGTTGATTTTATCATGACTTTGCCCCAATTCCAATATTGTCTCAGTGTCAACCGTAGCGCCTAGTTAAGTATATTATTGTGTTATGTTATATTTCAGATAAGTATCACACAATAATTAATTTTTTATTCAGGTATATCAGAAATAAGGTCTTAGCTAAAGTTAGCATGAAAGAAAATATGTTACTTTTAATCCCAGTGTACAATTCATATTCTTAGGAATTAATTATAACGTGCTTGGGGTGTACGTATACATATTCGGGAAAATCAAGTTTATGCATAAATAATATATTTTAATGTATAGAGGATACCAAATAAAACCCGATGCACGTCATCGATGTGGAGCTGTGCGCTGTTGCCAGAATTTGCACATTTTCTTTTAAGCAAATAAATTTAATAAAATAAATTGTTTATATATACCTACCATTTACTATAATACCATTATATTAAAAATAAATAAACTTGTAAAATTAAATTCATTTCTGAATAAAAACACCTGATTTGGTAGATATTCAAAAACACAAAATATTTAAAGAACATAAATTGTTTTCTCGTATTTTAATTAATTTGATTATTTATTTATGATATGGGAACTACAACAGTTTTTCAATTCACATCAAAGAGAAGAAAGAACTCGGGTGATGCGATGTTACACAATACCGGCAACTAGCGGCAAGGAGTACTCTTTATCGAGCCTGATATTAACCGCATGGTATGGTTCAGTTGTATATCAATTCCGGAGTTTAATTACATTATACAGAATATATTTTGATGTTTTAACTATTCTGAATCACTGGAATCAGAGTCATCGTTAACATGGATAATAAGGGGAAGAATTTCCTGTCTATCCATTACTTGTTCCCTTCTATACCATTTCATAATTATCTCCTCTGTATGTCTAATGAAGTTCTTCCACATATCAGGGGTAATAGTTTGGAGTGCCTCTTGCCACATTTTTAGGCAGTCATTTTCAGTGTGGCCATCTCTTCCAATATGCCGATTATAGTAATCTTTAATTAGCTCAATTGGGTTAAAAATACAGTGGTATGGAGGTAACCGTAAAACTTTATGTCCATATTGTTCTGCCAAGTTATCGACCACATACATTTTGGTTGGTTAATTCCAAAAAAAAAAAAAAAAAATAGGAACAAAATGCATAAAGATTGGGTATTCTGCTCACTGTGCAACAATCGTTAGAAGTTCAGATTTGAATGCTTCATGTGGATACTGTATTTTTTGTTCAGTTAACCAATTCTGAATTTCATCCTTTCTCCATGAGCTATTGGGAGTTTTTACTAATAACATGCTATGGTATGATGGATTATCCATAACAATCACAGAGGGTTGGGTCAAGCTTATTAGTAATTGATTTTCAAACCAATATAAAAAGTTTTGCTGGTTCATTTCACCACGGTAATCATTAAGCTGGGTTTTCGATGAAAATATGAGCGACGCACCTTCAACAAATCCATTTTCATTGCCAGCGTGACCTATGATATACCTACAAATGCATTTCATTTTTATATAGAGCTTATTTTTCTATACATTTGGAAGCCCACCTTTTTCCATCAGCTTTTGTACTTCTAACAGTTCGCTTGGATACTTTACACCACTTCACAGTAACTGTTGTTCTGAAAAGAACAATTTTTAATTGGCAAGGCAACGATTCAAAGCTCAATTAGCGCAAAACTCACAAACTAAACAATAAAGAACTAATAGTACGACAAAAGGACAATGGCAACTGATGTCAACAAATGAGAAGTGGCAACCTCACATTTCTCTGCACGGCACTACCAACCGAATCGAGACGGGGAAATTTAAACTTCAAGTAGAAATGTCACATTGAATGTAGTCAACTGTTGGTAACCATGATTTTTATGAATGACATCACCTATGACGTGCATCGGATTTTATTTGGTATCCACTATATCTCCATAAGTCTACCTCCACATCTTCAGGATCTCGATTCATTAAATAGTGCTTTTTTAAACGTACCTCAAACAACCAAATCATTAACTCCATTGAACCTTTTAGACAAATATGAAAACGTCAAGAATAGTGGTACTTTTCTGTTCACGACAGTTTCCCCTGCCACTGTAGAGAAATTTATCAATCGCATCAAAAGTCATGCTAAAGGCTCAGATGGCATCACAATTGATATGATCCGTATAATACATAAGCATTTGCTCAAGTATATTACCTTCATTATTAACTTTTGTATAACAAATAATCTTTATCCCTCTTCCTGGAAGAATGCTCTTGTTCTCCCTCTGCCTAAATCTAATTATCCTTCAAGTTTTTCTGATCTTCGTCCTATAAGCATTTTACCAAGTTTATCTAAGCTTTTGGAAATGGCTCTACATGAGCAGCTGCACACATTTGTTTGTCAAAATAATTTACTGACCACCTCCCAATCTGGCTTCAGACCATTACATAGCACCACCACTGCGCTCCTGTCTATATCGGATAATATTTATAGCGCGGCTGATCAAGGAAAGCTGTCCTGCTTAGTTCTTCTTGATTTTAGCAAGGCCTTCGAAACGGTTGACCCAAATATTCTCTGTAAAAAGCTTAGATACTTTGGCATGTCATCATCGGCTTGCACGCTGATTAAGAGCTTTTTAACTGATCGCTCACAGTCTGTCATATATGAAAACAATATATCAACTTCTTTATTCAGAAATTTTGGTGTCCCTCAAGGATCTATTTTGAGTCCCCTTTTATTTGCTCTTTATATATGTGATTTTCATGAAACCGCCAGCAACTCAATCGTTCATCATTACGCCGATGATACCCAACTTTATAACTGCTTCGATCCTGATGAATATATGCTTGGCCAACATCAAATAAATCAAGACCTGCAGTCTATTTTTGACATATCTAGTGCTCACAATCTAAAACTAAATCCTGGCAAATCATGCTGCATTTTATTTGGGCCCAAAAAGAATCGTGAAATAAATCAATATCGCATTAATATTATGGTGAATAATGAAGACATATCCTTCGTAAACGAATGCAAAAACCTTGGTATCTGGTTTGACTGCAAGCTACGCTTCACTAAACATGTTAACCAACTATGCAATGCGTCCTATAATGTGCTTCGTCAGTTATACCCGAGTCGAAGTGTCCTGTCGACACAGCTCAAGCTTAAACTCTGCGAGTCCCTTATCCTGTCAAAATTATCTTACGGTGACTCTGTTTATGGACCTGCTCTTTTACAACGTGATGCCGAGCGGATTCAGATGATACAAAACTCATGCATCAGATTTTCTTATGGAATCCGTAAATTTGATCATATTAGTAGCGCTTTTGACCAATCGGGATGGTTTAAGATGAACAAATTGAGGAAACTGCATTGCCTATCTCTGGTACATAAGACCCTTATCCTTAAAGCGCCATATTATCTTTATACAAAACTAAGCCTCCTCTGCCAGTACGATCAAAGATCCTCTAGGAATAAACTCATCTTACTTATCCCGCGGCATTCGACAGCATTGTTCACACGCAGTTTCTCGTACTGGGCACCCAAACTATATAACTGCTTATCAAGTGAGTATAAAGAATATAGCCTAAGCAATTTTAAAAAAAGGTTAAAGATGAGTTTAAAGCAGTCGGATGGCTAAAATTTTACTTTATGCATATCCACAGGTAATTGATTGTTTCCTTTCTCTGATAAGTGTTATATTCTAAGTTTTTTATTTCTCTCTCTCTCTATAGTTTGTGTCAATGTTTTCCAGGTCGGGTTGAAAAACAGCATAAGCTGACACTCCACCTTTTCGTCACTGTTCCTTTTAAACCAATTATTTAAACCAATTATTTTGTAATCGTGTGACGAATAAAGGCCATTTATTATTATTATTATTATTATTAATGTAATGATGACATTTTCTTAGGAGCTGGCTAGGCACCATTTTGAATATTTTAAATAACATGTAGGTCGTGTGTGAATGAACCTTAAGGGTACTTGGTAACCTTGACTAATCATCAAAAGGTATGTTATCTCAATATTTTTCATTTAGAACATTTCATTTATAGATACTTCAAGATACTCTATTATTCCTAATGAGTGATTAGACGTTTTTGTCGCATATTCAGACAGACCTTTCAGAAAAAAGCAGATTAGTCAAATATGCGTTCTGATGATTGTTTCTTAAGTCTTGAGTTAATGTGGAAATGATCATCAACTAAGGTAGCCTACCAGTCCGTGTTTCTTAAAGACACGGGAGTTTGTCTTGGGATCATGAAGAACTCATCAGTATCACGATATGACCACTATTCCATTTGAGAATAATTTACAAAAGCCTCCTTCTTGGAGTTTGGAAGTTAGTTTCCAATATTTCAATATTTTGTTCAAGCATATAGCGTCCCACTTCGGAAATTTCAAACAGATTATTAATTTTTTAACGCGCCAAAATGAGATTTCAGCATTATAAGGAGACATAACCGCTAGACAGAATTTCAAACACTAAACGGTCACCCTGTATGAGATCTGACACTTTGGCACAATAAGAATTGCATTTTTAAGTTGACCGCGTCTAACTTTTACCAAACATCTTCAAACTAATAAAAACCCTCTTCTTTTCAATAATAACTCATCCCATAGTTGCCAGCACTACTACTGTCACGAATTTTCACTCAAGAAGTCTCATCCTGAAAACAATAGTTACGTGAACAAATCCTTAAATCTCCTATAAAGTGCTTTGTACTGCAATATACGGGTTATACTCCAGTTCTGAAAAATAAACAACAGAAACTTCCTTGTGTAACAACTTTCTTATACTCAGCTTGACGCAAATGAATCTCGACTCATCCGTATAAGAATAAAACAAAAGCAACTACGAACTTTTATCTCGGGAAAATCGGAAGTGCCTGTGTTTGCAATCTTGAAAATCTTTTACCTTCAGGCGTGTATGCATGCAGAAATTGCAGAAGCACGACGCACCGTTTTCGAGGAATAACGACTATGCAGATACAATAGACGAGGAGAGGTTTGTTTCGCATAGGATCTTATTTTGCATTATTGGTTGTCGTTATAGTTCCGTGCGTTTGGCTAGCGAGGTGAGAACATGAATTACCGTCTAAATCTAAAACAGGTCAGAAATCAGTGAGTCGGTGTCGTGGTAGTGTAGTGAGCACCACAAAAAAATATTTGAAGGT